TTTTTTTTTTTTTTTTTTTTTCCCTTTTTGTCTTTTTTCATGTCTGGCAACGAATTGCAACCCTCAGTGTTGCGCCCGTACTGGACCGGGACTGGCAGCGGGATCCCAACCCTCGGTGTTGCGTCCGCACCTCGCTCAGCCAGTGAGCGGGAACCGGTCTGTATGTGGGATCCGAACCCTCGGCGGGAGCGCTGCCGCGCTCCCAAGCAGCGCACTGTAGCAGTGCGCCACCGGGCCGGCCCCATTTTTTTGTCCTTTTTGAGACCGACCACACCGCGCTCAGCCAGTGAGCACTGTGAGCGCACCCCCAGTGCCGCACTCTCCTGAGTGCGCCACGGGCTCGGCCCTATTGAGACTTGTTTTACGACTTTGAATGTGGTTACTTTCATTAAGTGTTCTGTTTGCACTTGGAAAGAATGCACGCATCTGCTGCTGTTGGGTGTCTGTTGTCGTTGGCTGTATCTGTTGACATGCAGCTTAGCCCTGCTGTACCCTTGCTGGCTGTCTGTCTGCTTGTTCCATCAGGTGTGTAGAAAGGGGTATTGAAATCTACGTACTTGTGTGTGTAGAAAGGGGTATTGAAATCTATGTACTTGTGGAATTTTTACTTCCCCTAGCACTTCTATCAGTGTTTGGTTGCTGTGTTTTGGAGCTCTTTTATTGTCCCCTTTATCATCATGGAATGACATTCCTTGTAATATTCTTTATTCTATAATCTACTTTGATATTAAAGTAGCCACTCCAACTTTTTTTAAAATTCATTTTTGCATAGTATACCTTTTCCTTTCCTTTAACCTATGTTTCTCATTTAATATATGTTTATTGTAGGTTTGTTGTATTGCTTTTTTATCCACTCTGACCATCCTAACCCTTTTAATTAGGGTTTTAGGCTATTTACATGCTTATTAACACTTTTTATTTCCTTTTCAATAAATTGCCTATTTGTATCATTTTCCCTTTTTTTAGTAAGGGTTTTTTATTTTTCTTGTTGATTAAAGCATTTATTTATGTCTGTATATTAATCTCTTGTCAATTTTAGAAATAACAGTTGCATCATTATCCATTGCTTAACTCTGCCTGTTTATGTTCCTTGTAGAGCAGACATCTTTAATTCTAATGTAATCAGACTTTTCTTTTTCTTGTTATGATTTATGCTTTTGATGTTTTATGAAAATTTTTACAGTTTCTAGGCCACAAGTCTGTTATTCTACATTTCCTTTATTAACTTTGAGGTTCTCAGACCATCTAGCACAGTCTTTCCCTCTGAGCGTATAGAAATGTGCAGAAGCAGCCCCAGAGGTTTTGTTAAGACCCACATGTGTGGATTCCAGCTTCAGATGTTCAGAATCAGCAGTTTGGGGTGTACCCAGCAGTTTGCCTTCTTTCATCTGCTTCCAGCTCTAAGCTGGCTTGGGCCGCTGGTCCTAAAACCCCACTTTGACTAGGAGAAACCTAGAATCCACCTTTGCCAGGGGTGTTAGGTAGGGGCTCATTTAAATTTTTCTATTAAGGGCCGAGCCCGTGGCGCACTCGGGAGAGTGCGGCGCTGGGAGCGCAGCAGCGCTCCCACCACGGGTTCGGATCCTATATAGGGATGACCGGTGCGCTCACTGGCTGAGTGTGGTGCAGCCAGTCTCAAAAAGGACAAAAAAAAAAAAATTTTTTTTTTCTATTAAAATGAGCCTTTCTCTTTACTATTCTTTTTCGTGATTTACTTGGGTATTTGTGAAAATTTATTATTTATGCATTTTAGAATAAGGTTATACACTAATTGGGATTTTGACTAGAATATCATTGAATCTATAGATTTAATTTGAGGGAACTTGACAGCTTTGTAATCCTGTCATCCCATTCCAAGAGCATGAAATGCCCTCCATTTAAGTTTTATTTTTCTCCACACAGGTGTTGAGTAATCTTGGCTAATTTTTTATATCCTTTGTTGTTTTTCCTGCTTTTGTGAATAATATCTTACTTTTTCTCTTACATTTTCTAGTTAATGTTGGTGTAGAGAAATGCCCTCGGTTTTGTAATTACATTTTTAATTCAGCAATCTTAGTGCACTCGTGTGTTTTAGTTGCTGATTGATTCTGTTTTTAAGTAGTTGATTGTGTTAGGTGCGGTGAGCAGTCTGTCTCACCATTCTTATCCTTTGCACCTTTGTTTTCTCTTTCTTCCCTGTTAGTGTCACCCAGTACCTCCTTTTTATGTTAAACACTAGTAGTGTGGATGTCCTTATGTTATTTCTGATCTTAAATGAAATTAATTTAATATTTCTGAGTAAGTATATACCTGCTGTGGAATTTGGTATATAGCCTTCTCCAAGTTCAGAAAGTTTTCACCTATTTTATTTTGCTGCGGGTTAAAAATTTATCGATAGCTGTTCATTCAGAAAGTATTTATTGTGCACATATTATGTGCCAGGCTTTGTTTATGTGCACAAGGTGTAGTAGTGAACAAACAGACAAAACCCTTGATCTTGTAGAACTCACAATCTGGGAGGGAAGGACAGACGATCAGTGTGACAAATAATAAAGTGCAAGTATATTAGGAGAGAACCAGGAGGAACAGTAGAACTGAGGGAAGGGGACAGTGGTGCCTTGAACCTGATGAGTGCTCTTTCTGCATCCAGAGACGTGTTGTGGGGTTTTCTGGGAGTTTTCTGCTTCAGCCATCAGTGAGATTAAAGGTATCTATCAGTCTTCTGATGTAAACTGCATTTCTTATTTACAACCACCCTGGGTGTAATCTGTTAATTTGTCACGGGAGACTGAACCTCTATAGAGAATGTCGTGTAGATCAAGGATATGCTGAAAGTGTGAAACTTTTTCTTTAAGTTTGTTCTTGGGAAGCTACTTCAGAAGACTATTTTCTATCTACAAATAATGCTCAGTTTTCTCTTATAGTGGTGACTCCCCAAATTTAACCAATAAACTTTCAGAGTTAATGTTTAAGAAATAACTTTGTATTTAGTTACTTTGAACTTAAATGTTGGTTTGTATATGAAATAAGAGTTTTCTATACAAGTTCTATACAAGGCAGTGAAAGAAATTGTAGCTCTTCTGCTGGTGGTTCCCAGGAGGTGCTGCCAGCGGCCACTGATGCCCTTTCTGCTCTGTCCACAGACGCCCTTTCTGCTCTGTCCACAGAGATCCTGATGGCTGCCGACGAAGGCTCAGCAGAGAAGCAGGCAGGAGAGGCCCACGTGGCTGCAGATGGTGAGACCAACGGGTCTTGTGAAAAAGGCGATAGCAGCAGCCACCTGAATGCAGGAAGACACATTCAGGAGAATGCAAAAATCAGCCCACAGGAAGGTACCAATAAACTAACCCGAATAGCGGAAAACGGGATTTCAGAAAGAGACACAGAAGTGGGGAAGGAAAACCATGTTGCAGCAGATGACTTTATACAGACTTCTGTCATGGGCAGCAACGGATACTTCTTACATAAACCGGCCTTGCAGGGGCAGCCCTTGAGGACTACCAGCACTCTGGCCTCCTCGCTTCCTGGCCATGCTGCGAAAACCCTTCCTGGAGGGGCTGGAAAAGGCAGGACTCCAAGTGCTTTTCCTCATATGCCAGCCGCTGCACCAGCTGTGCCTGGGGAGGGGAGCACAGATGCAGAGGAACGAAAGCCCACGGCCCCTGGTGCTGACGTCAAGGTTCACCGGGCACGCAAGACCATGCCAAAATCCATCTTGGGCCTGGTAATTTGTGTCTTCTTTTGCTGTTTCCTTTTTGTCTTTCTTCTGTTTTGTTTCAATGATGGCAATGTGCATTAAAGAGAAAGGCTAGTAAATGGTAGTGGTCATTTCACTGAGTTACTCTGGGCCTGTGAAAAGTTAGGAGATGCTGCTAATGCTTCATGTGTGAATGACAGAGCCGGATGGCTCTGGCTCTGTTTCCTTCTTGTGCCTTGCTCTTCTTATAGGACTCTATTGTCCCCTGTGTGAAGATGTGTCACATTCTTTCAAGGAGACCACTCCCTTTCCTGCTTTGGGCCCGAGGGTTTTCACTCTAGCTAGGGAAGGCTCAGCACCCACCCATGTCATTGAGAAGTGAGTAGCAATGAGGTTGGTTAGGAACCCAGTGTGACAGAAGTGAGAGGACAGAGGGCTGTATTGAGACATGCCCTGGGCTCCCTCCTGACACCAAGCTGCCAGGATCAGGCTGTCCTTGAGGGCAGGGTGAGTCTTGGGCCTGATCATTCAACACAGGCGGTGTGTACTTCATTTAACACCCAGTGTGCTGGTCTTTCGTTCATCACCATATCTCACGTGGTATACGCATGATAAATTTTTTCAAAATGTGTGCACTGCTGTTGTTTTGCTCTCTCAGTTGGATGTCATTTTGGCTGGGCATGAATTCTAGGTTTATGATCAAATTCCCTTGGAACTTCTTGTATCTGATGTTGCTGGTGAGCATGCTGAAGCCATTGTCTTGTCCTTTGTTTGTAAATCATCTGCTGTTTCCTCTTTGCAGTTATTTAGGGCTGCATGTATTGAACCTTTTTCTCATGGGCCCTTATCAATCTGAGGATTTGTGATTTTAGCTCCAGGAAAATGCTTTTTATAATTTTTCTTTCCATTTTCATCCCATAGAACTCCTTTTTAAATGGACATTGGATCTTCTGTCTCCTTGGACAGTTACTTGTCTGTTTTCCAGCTCCAAATTTGTTCTTTAGCCCTTTGCATTCTTGTTCATTCCATATATTAATATATTTTATTTTTTATATCCAATATGTCTAATTAGTTCCTTTAATGTAAAAGAAGAAACTTCTGAATTATATTTTGTCTTCTTCAAAAGATATTGATTATAATTCTTTTATAGTTTGTTATAAATTCTTTTATATTTAGTTTGTTATATGTTCCTCCAGTAGGAGTTCCTCTGTGTGGGCTTGGCATCTCTTGTTCCTGATGACTTTTCCCCTCTCAGATGTTCATTTCTCCCCACCCAGGGGTGTGCTGGTCTTTGTTTCTGTGATGTAGCACTGGCCTTGCTGTGAGTGCAGTACCCGCCTGCAGCAGTAGTAGTGGTGGTGGGTGCACTGCGGAGCTGGAGTGCTGGCCTCTGACCACGACCTGTGGGCTCCCCTCTCCCCAGGGGTCCCCATGGCCGCCAGATGTTCTGTTCCCTTCTAGGACAGCCAGGGTGGGCACCTTCTTTTTTTTTTTTTTCTTTTTTTTTTTTTTCTTTTTTTTTTTTTTCTTTTTTTTTTTTTTCCTTTTTTGTCTTTTTTTTACTGACCGGTAACGGGATCGCAACCCTTGGTGTCGCGCCCGCACCGGGAACCAGCAACAGGATCACAACCCTCGGTGCTGCGCCCGTACCACGCTCAAGCAGTGAGCGGGAACCGCTCTCCACATGGGATCCGAACCCTCGGCGGGAGCGCCTCCGCGCTCCCAAGTGGCACACTATCCAGTGCGCCACCGGGCTGGCCCGGGTGGGCACCTTCTGATGCCACACTCACCAGTCACCCCAGTCCTGGTCCAGGGGCTCCCCCATTTCCAGCTTGGCTGGCTGGACTTAGCTTCAACCTTCTGCAGCATTCTGTATATGTCAGAACTTTGAAACATTTAAAAATAGTTATAGATTCACAGGAGGCTGAAAAAATAGTGCAGAGAGAGCCCATGTAGCTTTCACCCAGCTTCTCTTACTGGTAACATTTTATATAACATATATAACATTTTATATAACATACGATGTAAAAACCAGGACATTGACATTGGTACAGATCTGCAGATCTTACACAGTTTCACCATAACTTTTCCATGCACGTGTGTGTACACATAGTTCTGTGCAGTGTGATCATGTGTGGGTTTCTGTAACCACCATGGCCGTTAGGACACAGAACATTGCATCACACCAGGGTACCTGCAGTCCTTCCTTGTAGTCACCCCAACCTGACCTAGCCCCTGGTAACCCTAGTCTGTTCTCCGTTTCCGTGATTATTTCAGGTATTACAGAAACAGAGTTAAGGAGTATGTAACCTCTTGAGAGTGGCTTTTTCCACCTAGCGTGGTTCTCATGGGATCCATCCCAGTTGTGCCAGTGGTCTGTTCTTTTTTGTGCTGAGTGGTATTCCATGGTGTGAATGGACTGCATGCCTGTGAACCACTCACTTGTTTCCAGCTTTGGGCTGTTACATAAAGCTGCTCTGAACGTTTATGTATGCATCTCTGTTTGGATGTAAGTTTTCATCTCTCTGGTATTAAATATCCAGTAGTATAACTGGTGGGTCATGTGGTAATTGGAGGTTTAGTTTCAAGAAACAGCCACACCACATTGCAGAGTGGCTGCTCCACATTACATGTTGTGAGGCTGCCGCCTGGAAGAGGAACCAAGACACCCAATTGAGAATTTAAAAGGGGGTTTTTATTGGCCGGCCGTCGACTGTCCCTCCAAGAAAGTCTCGGAAGAGAGCAGCCCTGACTTGAAGTTTAGGGGGTTTTTTAAAAGGTAAATTTTTACATTAGTCACACAGTTAAAATTATGAAATAGTCACACACTTATAGTTATCATATAGTAACACACAGACACACATATCCTCCTGGTGTGAGGAGCGGGTTTGGGGAGGCCTAGCGCCAGCTGATAACAGAAGTTGAAACAAGCCAGTTAATTGCTTAGGGGCAGCTTGGGTGGGGAACAGCAAGCAGAATTCAAACTTCTCTAAGTGCAGGCTAATATTTAGCTTTTAACTTCTGTCAAGGGGGCTGAAGAGCTGATGGGGATTTTCAAACAACAACATTTTCTAAGCAATTTAAACACTATTTAAACTTAATCTAACTTGTCACACAGCAAGCAGTTTCACAGAAGCGAATTGCATATGTTATGAAAGTGGGGGTCAACCTATCTCGTACAGAGAGGCTGTGGCCACATTGCATCCACTGGCAGTGTGGGCGACTCAGTGTCTCACTGCCTCGCTGGCGTTTGGTTGCTTGGCTTTTGTTTTAGCTGTTCTGAGGGGTGTAGTGCTGTCTCATCACAGTTTTTAAAAAAATTTTCGCATGCATTTTTAAAAATAGACTTTAAATAATTAATTACTTTTTGGCACCTGGCCTGTATAGGGATCCAAACCCATGACCTTGGTGTTCTAAGGCTGTGCTCTGACCAACTGAGCCAACCAGCCAGCCCTCATTGTGGTTTAACGTGAACTTCCATCATGACTGCTGGTGTGGAGCATCTTTTCACGTGCTTTTTTTTTGCTCTCTGTGAAGTATCTTTCATACCTTTTGCCAGTTTTATAATTAGATTGTTTTGTTAGCTTTGAGAGTTCTAGGTGTGAGTTCTTTGTCAGATACCTGGCTTACAAGTACTTTCTCCCAGTCTGAAGCTTATCTTCTTCCTCTCAAAGGGTCTTTTACAGAGCAAAAGTTTTTCATTTTGGTGAAGTCCAGTTCCTCATGTTTCTCTTATGGAGCATACTTTGGTGTGGTATCTGAGACCTTGTCACCTAGCCTTGGATCTTGAAGATTTCTCTCGTTTTTCTTCTAAAAATTTTTTAGTTTTATGTTAATTTTGAATCTATTACTCATTTTGAGTTAATTTTCGTATTACGTCTGAGGTCTAAGGTCTGGGTTGAGTTCGTTTTCCCCACATGGATGACCGATCATTGTCAAGTTTAAAATGCATGTTGGAAATTTTACATCATTCATCTGTCCTCTTGAAATTATTCTTTTATTCTATCCCCACTTTCAGGATTTTATTCTAATATATTTTTACTCTTGGGACTCTTTTATTTTCACCCTATCATATTCCTCTAGGGAAAAAGCAATTTAAAATTTGATTTAAAAAAAAAATTCTCTGACCATAGGGCTTTTCTAAATGGTAGCTTTGTTCTGGACTGAGTTATTACAATTAATAGTATACAATTGATTAGAATATGATATCATTTGATTGAAAATTACTGAACAGGCTCAGGCTGTAGGAAAAGAGACCCTGAGGTTTTGAGTCTTCCAAAGTTGGGTTCCTGATGACCATTCACACTTCCCCCACCCTAGAAAACCTTCCTCTGCTCCTGGAGGTCTCCACAGGAAGAAGGAGGAGATGGACTGAGCCGGACAGGGCCATCCCGTGGTGGCCCTGCTGATGTGGTGCTGGCAGAGGTTGAGGGGAGGTGCACCCCCTTGCTCCCAGGAGCTGCTTGGCACCTGTGGCTCTGGCTCCAGCCTCTCCTCCCCTCAGGATCTCCTGATGCCCCAAACCCAGTTCAGTCCTTTTTGATAATTTTAAGAAATCACATTTTATTGAAAACTGTATTTTACAAACAGTCATTCCAGTGATAAAGTGAGTGTTTCAGGCTTATGATAATAAAGCCATTTTTCTTGCAAGAGGAAGTTTAAAAATGAAGGCGTTTTCACGGCTCTAGAGTCTTAACTATCCTTTCGCCAAAGCAGAGGCAGTTTGGACCCTGGTATCCAGCGCTGGTCCCCATCATCACTGGCTGTCATAAGCATCGGCACAGGCTCAGACATTCTTACCAGCTGCTTCTGCCCTTGCTAGAGCAAGGAGAGTGGAAGCCGCTGGAAGGGAGCCTTTGTCCTGCATTGACATCTCTTTACTGAGGCTTGTGTTTCCCTAACTGGATTATGCTCACTCCAGGGGGCGTCCCTGTAGCAGCCCCTCACTGTCCCCTCTGTATCTGTGTTTTCACACCCAACCTCCTTCCATAGGTGCCTACTGCTGGGCTAGGTGCTGAGAGAGAGGTAGCCCCTGTCAGTCCGTGTCAGAGAGGTAGTTATTAGTAATTGTGTAAATGTGTCCAGCTGGCCGAGGGGCTGAAACTGAAGTCCTAACTGGGCCCAGGGGAAGCGCCCAGATGCAGATCCCTAGGAAGGAAGGGTGCTCAGGGCCAGATACCATGGGCCTTGGTCAAGGCCACTTGAGGACCAAGGCCAACGACTCTCCTCCTTGCTAGCAGGTCTTCTCCTCCCTTGTCTCTGTGCTTTGTTAGATAACAGAGTCCCAGCAAAATCTAGACCCCTCACTCAGGTTCAGCAGTTCTTAATTTTATTTTTTAGATTTTTGAAAATAGCCTTTTAAATTAAAGAATAGGTTTTGTACCTAAGCAAGAATTAGTCTCATGTGGTTATTTCCTCTACAGGCTTTGTTTTGTCTCTCGTTTATATTTGCTTTAAAATCACATTTTGTAGTTGTCTACAAGTGCTAGTTGAGGGAGATAGCCACTGTGAGTTGAGCAGGCAGCTTGGTGGTTTGTAGGTGGTGCAGAAGGAGCAATATCTGATTCCTGTGTTCTGACAGTGACCTCATTAGAGGCAAACTTGGTACATTTGAGAAAGACTTCTAAAATTTCTACAAAGCAGATGTGTTAATTCAAGCAGTGCTCTACGTGTAGAGGGTAGGTTGATTAGTGGAGGTTGTAGAAGGAGCTGTCATCTTTGAGCTGTGCTTTGTAGGAGGGAAGAGAGAGTTTATCTTTAGGGGAAAGAAGAAGGGCATTCCAGGGTTGGAGGCACATTCTGAGGCTTGAGCAGGTGGAATCTTGTCACAGTGGCCGACAGGGTCAGTGAGCTGGGTAGGTCTCCACTGGGGGAAGCGATAAAAAAAATGCAAAGAGCTGTGGTCACTGGGGTTTGAATCCAGGGTAGGTTTCCTAACAGGATTGTCTGCCAGAGCAAGTCGTGCATTCTGATGTCCTGGACATCAGTGAGTTGTTTGTTGGTCAGCTCTGGTGTGAGCCACAGAAGGGCTGTTTCTGAGAAGCTTTGCAAGTGCCATGCCCGCAGCAGGGTGCACCTGTGAGATGGAGAAAGACAGAGCCTGAGACAGACAGAGAGCAAGACAGAGAGAGATAGAGACAGAAACAGAGAGAGAGTGTGAGACAGAGATAGAGGGGCAGAGAGAGAGAGAGCGTGAGACAGAGACAGAGAGAGCGTCAGGCAGAGGCAGAGAGACAGGCAGAGGGAGTATGTGCTGCTGTGACCCCCCACCCTGCGCTGGGGCAGCCTCATTCCATCCAAATCTAGTCCCCTCTGTGCCCTGTGTTCGTTTGCTCTCTCACCCTGGAGCCGCCATCTTCGCCTGTCTGCTTCCCCTGTAACCTCCACAAGCATCTCCTGAATCCCCCGAAGTGATCTCTGTTTGGAGCCCAGTGTTCACCCATTGTATGGATTCATCGTGTGGTTTGAATTACAATTATTCATGACCTTGGCCGTTTCTCCCTGGTCTTGACTCCAGGAGACGGAGATGCCCTGTGTTTTTGTTTGTTTTTTGCTGATAGAAGACACATGACATAAAATTTATCATCTTAACCATCTTTAAGTACACAGCTCAGTGGCATTAAGTGAATTCACACTGTTGTGCAGCCACCACCACCTTCCATCTTTAGAACTTTTTCATCATCCCAGACTGAAACTCTGTCCCTGTTAAATAACTACCCTTCACTCACCCCTGGCACCCAGCATTCTCCTTCCTGTCTGTATGATTCTGACCACTCAGGGACCTCACATCAGTGGAATCCTGCAGGCTTTGCCTTTCTGGACTGACTTTACACAGCAAATGTCCTCAAGGTTCATCCACGTGGTGGCATATTGCAAATTTTCCTTTCGTTTTAAGGCTGAGTAGTATGTCGTTTTATGGGGGGACCGCATTTTGCCCATCCACTCACCCGTCAGTGAATTTGCAGGCTGCTTCCACGTTTAGCTACTGTGAATACTGCTGCGTGAACATGGGTGTACAAATACATTTCATTCAAGACCCTGCTTTCGATTCTTTTCAGCATGTACCAGTAGTAGAACTGCTGCCTCTTGTGGTAATTCAGTGTTTAATTTTTTTTTCCTTTTTGTCTTTTTTCGTGACCGGCAACGGGATCGCAACCCTTGGTGTCACCCCCGCACCGCGCTCAACCAGTGAGCGGGCTGGTCTCTATATGGGATCCGAACCCTCGGCGGGAGCGCCGCCACACTCCCAAGCGCCACACTCTACCGAGTGCGCCACTGGGCCCACCCCAGTGTTTAATTTTTTGAGGAGCTGCCATACTCTTTTTCCACAACAGTCGCACCATTTTTAAAAATTAATTAATTTATTTATTTACTTATAATTTAATTTAATTTAATTAATTAATTAATTTATTTTTGTCCTTTTTTGAGACCGGCCGCACCGCGCTCAGCCAGTGAGCGCTGTGAGCACACCGGTCATCCCTATATAGGATCCGAACCCGCGGTGGGAGCGCTGCTGTGCTCCCAGCACCGCACTCTCCCAAGTGCGCCACGGGCTCGGCCCCAGTCGTACCATTTTACATTCCCACCAGTGGTGCAGAGGGGTTCTAATTTCTCCACATCTTGCCAACACCTGCATTTTTCTGTTTTGTTTTATTTTGTTTTCACAGTAGCCACCCGTTAGAAGTGACATCTACTTGTGGTTTTGATTTGCATTTCCCTCATGATTAATGATGTGACCATCTTCTCATGTGCTTAGTGGCCATTTGTATATCTTCTTTGAAGAAATGTCTATGCAAGTTCTTGGCCCATTTTTTAATTGGGTGGTTTTGTTGTTGTTGAGTTGTAGGACTTCCTTGTATATTCTAGATAGTAATCCCTTATCAGATATGTTATTTCCAAATATTTTCTTCCATTCCATCAATTGCCTTTTCACTCTGGTTGTGTCCTTTGATGCACAGAAATTCAAATTTTGTTGAAGTCCAGTTTGTCTGTTTTTCTTTTTTTGGCAGTTGGCCAGTTTGGGGATCCAAACTCATGAGGTTGGTGTTAAGAACATTGTGTTCTAACCAACTGAGTTAGAACAGCCAAGCCATATTTGTCTGTTTTTTTCTGTCGTTGCCTGTACTTTGGGTGTCTTATCCAAGAAATAACTGCCAAATCCAGTGTCACGAAGCTTTTGCCCTGTGTCTTCTTGTAAGAGTTTTATAGTTTTAGGTCTTTGGTCCATCTTGAGGTAAGTTTTGTGTGTGGTGTTAGATATCCAGTTTCCCCAGCACCACTTGTTGAAGGATGGCTTGTCTTTTAACACTTTTTGTTATTTATTGCACCTACTGTGTGCACAGTAAAATTTGGTTAAATTGAATTGGATTTGAGATCAGACTGTCTCAAGGCGGCGGGTGGCTTTAGGGAAGCAAGCAGAGGGTGGTGGTCTGGTGGAGTCTGGCTGTCTGGAAGGAAGGCAGGGCCTTAGGAAGTACTAGTGGCTGATCCCTGCAGGCTGCCAGTCTCAGAAGGTGGAGGCTAAAGGCAGATCGAGGAGATACGCAACACTGTGATTAAAAGACCATTAAAAAAATGTAATAAAAGGTAATTATGTATTGTGGAATATATGCTATTTGGGGGGATTTTGCAAAGTGTAGCTGTAACAAACTAAAAGTGCTTTCTGAAAGTTTTTGATTCTGCCCATTTAGGGTATATTTTAGCTTAGTAATATTTATTACCGAAATCAGGGGTTGGCGAACTTTTTCTGCAAAGAGCCAGATAGAAAGTATTTCAGGTGTTGCTGGCCACATGTGGTTGCTGCTGCTGCTGCTGCGCTTTATCCTCTCCCATCCCTTTCCCCCTCCTTCCTGTCCCTCTTGTCCTCCCATCTTCCTCCTCCCTCCTTCCTTCTCACCTTCTTACCTTTAGACCTGTAAGCAGTGTTCTGAGCTTGGGCCATGGTTTGTGGATGCCAACCTAAATCGTCTGAGGGGCAACCTGGCACACATGTCTCAGTGCCAGATGCTCCTATGATGACGGCCGTCCTGTGCTGTGTAGGTTTGCACACTTCCTCCCTCTCTTGTAGTAGTTCATCTTTCAGTTGAGGGGAATTGACAAGGAAATGAACTGTGTTTTGGGTGCGTGTTATTCCAGTGACCATCTGCTTGTGCACAGTTATAATGACTAATTGTCTTTGTTTTGAAGCATGCAGCCAGTAAGGATTCCAGAGAAGTTCGAGAAGCTAGAGATCATAAGGAGCCAAAGGAGGAGATCAACAAAAACATTTCTGACTTTGGACGGCAGCAGCTTTTACCTCCCTTCCCATCCCTTCATCAGTCACTACCTCAGAACCAGTGCTACATGGGCACCACAAAATCACAGACAGGTAAAGGGAGACCCGCGACTGTCTTTGCTCTTTGAATGTGTGTCTCAAGCCTGAACCTCACCAGACGAGAACTATATCTGGCTGCAGATGCCTCTGCTGCTCTAGACAAGTGACTGTTGAAGTCAGCCAGCCCTTCTGTGCTCACCTGTGCACCTGAAGAGGCACACCTGACCTCTTCTCTAAAACCTTGTCTAACACCTGCATTATTTTCTTAGCTCGTTTTCAATCTCAAGATGAAGATGGTTTTCTTTACTAAAATCTTACTAACTTGGTCTAATTGGGTGGAAGACTGGATATGAGAACTCTCCCGGTTTTTGAGTGAAGTGCTGTTGGGAACACTAGGATGTGTTGGGAAGTCCTTTGCACCAAGGGGCAGGGGACCTGCGAATGGCTGTTGCTTTGTTACCAGCCATTTATCTGTGGGCGTTTCTCCTTGCTCTTCTGAGCTCGTCAGTTAGGAGAGTGGATGAATGTTTGATGACTTGTTGGGGGCCTCTTGTGGGAGGTGGGGCTGCATGAGTGGCCCCACCAGGAGGCTGCTGGGTGGGCACGTGAGCCTCAGCATGAGGACACTTCAGGGCTCCCCTGGGCTTCCCTCTTCAGCTTCTAGGACATGGTCGTTTGTCACATCCCCAGAGAGGTGGGGCAGCTCCCTCTAGCATGGACCAGTTGTGAGTTTGAACTTGAAAGGGCCTTGCTATAATGCCTCCATGAGCATTGAACAAGGACTTGCAGACACATGCCAAGGTTGCTGAGGCTGTTGACCTGCACGGCTTTCCTTGGGGGAGTGTCACCTGGCCAGAGGTGCATGTCTTTTTCTGGACTTTTAAAATCCTTTTTATTTTAAAGTAATCTCAGACTTTCAGCAAAGTTGCAAAATTTCTGCCAAGAATTCCTGTGTGCCCTTCACGCATTTTACTACATGGCACAATTATGCCCCTCCCCCAACATAACTTTCTTTTTTCTGAAACATGAATGGAAGTTGCACATTGCAGACGTTGTACCCTTTTACCTCTAAATACCTTAGTGTTATTTCCTAAAAGTAACAGTGTAATGTCCCTAAAAATAAGGACATTCTCTTAGATAATAACAGTACAGTTATCAAAATCATGAAATTAGCTTTGTTGCAATACTGTCATCTAATCTAACTTTGTTGTGATGCTGTTAGTAGTACCTTGTTCACTTTTTGCCAGTTGCCCTGTTAGTGTCCTTTACAGTTACAGGAAAACCAGTTCTAGTCTCAGATCTTGCAGCCACCTGGTTGTTTTGTTTTGTTAGTCTCATTTAATCTGAAATATTCTCAGCCTTTTTTGTCCTTCTTGACTTTGGCATTTTGAAGAGTAGGGCCTGGAATGTCACAGGGGACTCGTGTGTGTCCTTAGGAGTTGCGTGTTGGTGGTCTTTTGTCCTGTTACGGCCAGGTGGAGTCTGTAGTCTCCTCAATCGTGAAGTCACTGTTCCTGCACTGTAACTATGAGTAGCGCGTGTCTGGTGGGGAGAGACCCTGAGTCTCTGCAGGTGCCGCACTTCTCATCACCTGCCACCAAGAGCTTCTGCGTCTGTCAGTGACGTACCCAAGTGGAGAATTGCACGGTGGGCGCCACATGCTGGCTTTCTGACTCCACGGTTCCCTCTCTGTTATCAGTTCAGTGTCTGCTGTGGGGAAGTACTTCCCCTTCCTGTCAGTTCACCCATTCATCTATTTTTTTTTTTTTTTTAAGTTTTGGGTTATAGACTCTTATGGGAGTCTCTGGCTTTATATAATCCATTACTGTCATTATTTCTTTTGTTGCTAAAATTGTCCCAGGTTTGGCCAGTGGGGGCCCTTCAGGCTGGTTCCTGCGTCCTCAGACATGACTCCATTACTTTCTGGAGACTGGCTTAGCTGGATCATCCAGGCTCATCTTGTCCTTTTTCTTCCCAGTCCTGGAATTGCCCGTTTCTCGTTCTTTGCTTTGGGATATGGGAGTTAGAAAACAAGATCCGTTGTGGTCCCCCCCCCCCCCCCACACCCCCCCTGACTTTTTGGCTATTTGACTCAATAATGTTTGTTTTGTTTAAGTCAAAAAAATATAGAAATGGATCAAAAGAATGTTTAATTTGGGAAAATAGGATTGTAATCTGGGGCACACATGGAGGGTGGGGCGGTCTCTGGTGTGTCCAAAGAACAGAGAAAAGTCTGGGAATTTTATTAGAGGAATGTTACATACTGTTTTGAAAGAAAGCTGTTTGGCACTGGTAGAGTTTTGGGAGTTGGCAGGCGTTGATTGGTGAGCGACAGCAGTAGATTAAATTAGTCTTGGTGTTGTGGCAGGTTGTTTCAGCAGCTACAAGGTACAACTAGTCTTCGTGTTGCAGCAGGCCGTGTCGACAGCCAGATTTGTAGAAGATTCTTCTTGCAGCAGGTGCTATGTGCCCTGAGTGCTTTTTTCTTCTGGCCCTTTGACTCCAATTTTAGTTTGGGTATGACCAGAATGACCCAGTTGGTATAACCAACTCTCACTGTTTCGAACAGTTAAACTTGGTATTTTGTAGAACTCTTTTAAGTTATGCTCTTTTCCTATTTTATCTTTATTATTTCATTGTCTTTTGATAAGAGCTTTCTAAAATGAAATGTCCCCTGTTTTTAGTAGTCCCCCAGTTTGTCCTTTCATAGCCTCCCTTCTCTTCCCATCTGCAAGCTGGAAATATGGTGGTTAATTAGCATATGAGTTTAGGACAGCGTATACTTCAGACTGTAGATGTAATATGCTTCAGCAGTGGGATGACTGTGTCTTGGTTCTGGGTCACAGGCATCCCCTCAGCCCAGCTGCTCCTCTGTGTCATCATCTAAGGGCTCACCCCACTTCTCAGGATAAAGAAGTCTGTTTCCAAGCCACACACGACTGCCTTGTCTTGTTACAGAGTCATTTGTGCACCTTTCAGTGTTGCTGGAAATGCCAAAAGCCCTTCCTCAGAAGGCAGGTGAAGGAGTCTCCTGGGGGAAGGCTCCTGTCCTGGCACAGGAGAGGGTCTGGAGCCCACTTGTTGGTATGACAGGAAAGGACATGGACGTCTTGCAGCAGGGTCCATACAGACATGGGGATGGGCTCTGTGTCGTTTGGTTTCTTCAGCCCCACTCCTTCATCTGCTTTTGTGGTTGCCTCCCTGTGGGAGGGAGTTGGAGCCAATGCATCATAGAGTTGCCTCAGAAAGTACAAGATTTCTCATCATCTCTTTTTATTTTAAAGTCACTGTGATGATGATCATGGAAGATTCTGTTCTTTTCCATCCTGCTGCGCCAGTGAGTTCCCCACAGTGGGGATGAGCAGTCGAACACTCTGGGCACAGAGCACAGCTCACTCCAGGGGCAGCTGTGGTTCCTCGTTTTATATCATAGGTGACCGTGATGCTGTAGGGCCTGTGTCTCACTCCCCTACTCTTCAGTGTCAGAAATGAAAGACCCTGTGCTATGCCAGAAGACTGGGACCATGTTGAGGCCCATTCAGTGTAATGCAGCCCAGGCCTGGGGGTGGCTGAGCTGACTCAGTTTCCCCGGGCATACAGAATTTGCTTTAGGTGAATGTCAGTTGTTTTGACAACATAGATTGGCATCTTCATTAGCAGATTGTACTGATTTCTTTCCAAAATGTAAAGGTTTACAGTTTATTAAAAAACACCAAAAACCGGGGCCGGCCCGGTGGCGCACTGCTACAGTGCGCCGCTTGGGAAGCACGGCGGCGCTCCCGCCGAGGGTTCGGATCCCACATGCAGACCGGCCGCTCACTGGCTGAGCGAGGAGCGGGGGCAACGCCGAGGTTTGCGATCCCGTTTCCGGTCCCGGTCCGGTACGGGCGCGACACTGAGGGTTGAGATCCGTTGCCGGTCACGAAAAAAGACAAAAAGACAAAAAATAAAAAAAATAAAAACACCAAAAACCTATTTCAGAGGATTCTGGAGGAGGACGCATGAGGAATTCATCTCCTTACCTATACAGTGGTTGCACTGATAAAATCTGATGTATCTGTTTTGGAACTCTGCAGTCTGTTGAAGGTTTGCAACTTCCTGGGGAAGGTTTGGATGGTTGATTTTGGTCAGTTTCAGCTTTTAGCACGGTAGCATCTACCCCGTCCTGTGGCTGCTTGCAAACAGCTCGTGGGAGCCAGGGTGGGCAAAAAGCACCCTGTTCTACAAATAGCAGGGATCTGTGCTCTGATCGCTGATTGTTGCTTCTGATCACAGAGGTGCTGACAAAGAGGCTCTGGCCACTGTGGTTGCCCTTCCCTTCATTGTTGTAAGTGCCTTCCTGAGTGACTTATAGGAGATTTAAAGGGCCAGTGCCCTTTTTACCTCCTCCCTTCATTTTTCTATTTTTCTCCTTTTGGAAGTCAAAGTCAAGACTAAGACATTCAAAAGCAACTGTGTATATGGGGAAAATTAGAAAGTGATTTCATGTGCTCAGAGAAAGACACAGGCTCAGAAAAGACCCGAGAAGACCTTAAGTTCATGCTTCAGGCTGATCTTCAGCATTAAGATAGCCTGCAACAATCAAAAACCCCAAGACAGTAAACAACACGTACTACAAATAACAGCAAACCCTAGGAAAGGGGAAAGTGTGTTCTACAGAACTTCCACATCATTAGGTTTGCATGTCCAGTTTTCAACCAAAAAATCAGGGCATTCAAAGGAAAAAAATTAATCAATAGAAACTGTCCCTGAGAAAGACCTGATGGCAGATCTAATAGACAAAGACTTTAGAACAGCTGTCTTAAAAATGCTCAGAGAAGGAAGACATGGAGAAAGTTAAGAAAACAGTGTATGAACAAAATGGCTAAGTCAACAAAGAGAGGAAACCTAAAAAGAAGCCAGGAAAGAGATCTTGGAGCTAAAAATACAATAACTGAAATGAAAAATTCACTAGAGGGAGTCAAAGGCAGATCTGAGCAGGCAAAGGAGAGTCAGCAAACTTGTAGATAGGACAGTGGAAGTGATTGAGTCTGAGGGACAGAAGAAGTGACTGA